AAATGGCTAGACAATCAACATCGGGGTTTGTTCTGCTTTACTAAAAACAACTAAACTAAACTGAAGTGAACTGAAATGATTGAAACTGAATTAAACTGATTGGGGCTAAATTGAACTGAATTGAACTGAATGGGGATGAACTGAACTAAATTGAGCTGATTGGAACTGAACTGAACTGAACTAAACTGAAATATTTGTCATTAATGATTTTTAACTGTTGATTAGTAATCGATGTTTCTATTATGGTCTTTTTTATTATGAACATGATTATACTTAATTATGATTGGGTGATTTTTGATTTATTTTTAAACCTTGGTCAAACCTTATTTTTAGAATTTTTCATTTTTAATTCCTTTTCTTATTTCCAAAAATTAATTATTGATATTCTGCAATTGTTTTTTTTTTTAGTTTTTAAATTTTTTTATTAAAATATATTTTTAATAAAACCCAAAATTAAGATTACATAAAAAAAATCTAAAAATCAAAAATTTGGTCTTCATACTTCATCGTTGTTCATCAATGTTCTTCACTATTCTTCAAATTTCTTCAAATTTGTTCATCAAATAATGAAATTAACCACAAATTTATGTTCCTTGTCCCTTAAATTCAATCACAAATCAATGGAGGCAAGAATTAGGGTTCGAAAAACATGTTTTTCATCCTTGGATCTTGATAATCACCCATTATCAAACTTTTCTCTAATTTTCATGAAATTGACCAACAATTTGTCCACAATATCTATTATGAATTGGGTTGATCAAATTTCTTTTCGGATTCGTTTGTACTGAATTTTCGACCATGGGGTTCAAAAAAGTTCAAAAAATTATGATTGATGAGAAAATTTAACATTTTTGTTGTTTGTAGTCAATAGCACGGTCGAAAAATATATAGCCTTGATTTCGTTTATTATGCTAATCCTTCCTCTATTGATTTTCTAAATGAACAAGGAGGAGAGAAAGATGTCACATTTTTTTTTTGCAGCCCGGTTCGTGAGATCCATAAAACAATATTGTGATTTTCGTAATCTGTTTGTGTTTTAGGCTTTCACCTATATTGTACTTTGGTCATTACATGTAAACTGGAGTTTATTGTTTTTTTTGCGAATAACTATATATAATTTTGGACATTTGGCCAAATTGTCAACTTTTAGATTATGTTGCATTTCTTTTTCTTTTTCTTTTTCTTTATTTTCTTAAAAGAACTTAAAGTCAAAAGGATTAAACACAAAAACCCAGGCCATTACTCATTTGTTGTCTATATGTGTTAGGATTTACAAAATAAATTTAGTTTGAAATTAAATCAAAATCTCTATTAAACTTCATCAGATTTTTACATTATTTGCTAGATTAGATGTATATGACGCATAAGATTTATAGCTCAGTATATTTGATCTACTATGCGCCCCACTAGTTGTTTGTTATTAAAATGAATGTCAATTACTTAATGTTAAAATGTTTGTAATAAATTTAATATATAATTAGGTAATATCTTGTTATATTATTGGTTATATCCAAATTTAGTTACCACATACAAAATTATGAGTGGTTTTTGCTACTTATATTAGTATATGTTTTAAAAAGTAAATAATGGAAGCTCATTGTCAAACCATAATACACATAGATATGGAAAATTTGTCAGAAAGGTCCTTTTAAGTATGTCCTTTTGTTGTAAAGATTATTTTCTATATTAAAAAAAAGGTGGCACAAAAAAAATCTTTTATCACACTTAGGTTATGGAGAGGGTCCTTTGAACGAATTCCGACCATTTACTTTTTTTCCGGCCAAAATAAGTCATGGCCAAAATAAAATGCAGACATAGTAATATATACTTTTGTGGTTTAAATTTTCGTATTGACCTACTTTAAATTGAACTCAATCTCTATTAAACTTATATTACTTAGATCAATTCTATGTTACTTTAAATTCAGATGAATGAAATCAATAAAAATTGTAGGTAATAACCTCTTATATTATTGGTTATATCCAAATTTAGTATATACTTAATTTTTGTTATTTTATGTTTCGTATTAATTTTGTCGACATATCCTAAGATTATTTTGTAAAATTATTGATTTTTATCACGCCTAGAATTATGGTAATATATATCCTTAATAATGCAATAAACATGGAATGTTTGATAAACAATCGTGTAAAATGAATTTAAAAAGAGGATAAAATTTGGTAAATAGAATATTAATAAAATCTTAGGATAATAACTGATTTACTTTCCCTCAATTTATCTTTTCCTGAGATTTTGTTACTTCTTCACACAATTTGGTAAATAGAATATTAACAAAATCTTAGGATAACAACGTACATACTTTCCCTAAAAAATTGATAAAATTAGAAAGTTACCATAATTTAATTAAGGTTTATGATTTTAAACTATCTTATTTTTTTTAAAAGGAAATACTTTAAGTCTTTCATTTCTAAAATAAGATAAGATTCCTTCAAAAGCTTTTTTGACATGCTTATCATAAAATAATATCAAAATGTTGGTTTCCCTCCACGTCAAAAAAAACATAAAGTTGGAATTTTTACAATATCCAAAATACATATGGTCATTCGTCAAACACAATAAACTTTATATTTTAGGTAATGACCAAAGTACACATATGCTAATTCATAAGCTATAAGCAGATCACAAAATTTATACTTGTGTTCTACGGATCAAACAAGGTCTATAAGTAGAAAATTAAAAAAAAAATTGCTTCTTCCTTTGATCGATATGCTAATTATATATCTTTATATCCTAAAATTGCGTCTTCTTCCTCTAATTGATTTCCTGTGATAGGTTTGGACAATAATTTTTGTTTTTTGGTTTGTGTAATTTGAAATTCAAACCAACTTCCTATAAGGTAAAAAAAAATCATGTATTTAAAGCAACCAATCAAAATAATTTATATTACCAATGGAAGGTGTTAAATTTAAGATCTATTTGAACAATATTGCCTATATGATAGGTGTTGATTGTTTATTTTTAGGGAATATTGTTACTAAATGATACATAAGTTATCATATATAAATTAAATTAAGTTATCCCATATAAATTGTCGTCCAAATCTTTTCAAATATTCTATTATAATATGTAACATACTGTTTAATTAGGAAATAAATCAATGATATACAATAATGTTGTTATCAATTATTTTTTATGACACATAAAATATAGACTATAAATTAAAAATAAAACTAAACTAATAAAAAAAATACTCGTAGAGTCGTGATACCTAACCATTGGGTAAAAAACTAGATACAAAGAAATCACATTTAACATGTAACGCCATTTTGACAAATAGGTTAAAGAATATTTTCGATTCCCATTAAGATAGCTAGACTATGTGTTATACAAAACATAAGCATGATATATTGATATGTCCTAATTACAAGGAATACAACTATCAGTAGTAGCATGCATTTAGCCTAAGTATAAGGGGTTGAATATTACCTTTCCTAATTTTTAAATACAAAAATACATTTACTATATTTAACAATTTGCCATTGTATTCTTTCAAAAAAAAAAAAAAAAAAGTGTGCCATGTAATTGCTCTACCTCCACGTTTTTTTTTTCATTTGTTTATTATATAGGATTCATCCAATATTAGAATATGACATTACTTATATATTTAGAATTAGTTTCAATCTCCTTAATTATTGTAAAGTTATTATAATAAACAAACATGGTTCATTATTTTAATTAATCACAAACTAGTGTTCAATTAATTTAACCATTAGGTCACACGATAGATAAGAAGATAATCAACTACTTTGACAATTAGCTCTAAAGGTGGTTTGATTGAGAGTTAATTTAATTTAATTTAATGGAATTTGCATACAGAAATCAAACCACAATAGCAGATATATAAGTGATCATTGATATCAAACTTGGTATATATACATTGTGACTTAGCTAGTGAATGAGGATTGAGGACCACAATCCTATTTGCTATCAATTAAGAAAAATATTAGGATATTAATGCATGCGTAGTATGAACTAATAATTAGTAATGTCCAAAATAACGTATGGTCGTAGACAAAATAAACAATAATACTGGGTTTGTATAGGTAATGTCCTATTAGCATCTGGGTTAATACCTTATATGCAAACAGAATTGTTAACTATATCTTCTTTTTTTTCGGATCAAACAAGTATTCCAAAACAAAAACGTTGTCTTCTCCAATTTGCCTCACAAACCCAGATTTCAAAAAATTGTTAATTTTATATTTTTTTTTAATTATTTTCGAATAAATAAAATGGCCGATTTTGCATCCTTTGTTTGCGATTATCCAATTAACATATAATGTTTTAGGATTAAAAACAATCCCAAATTCACACATGAATCCAAATTTCAAATGAAGTCAAACTTCACATATAATATGTAGATCGATGCATAGATTGATGTGCGAGTGTATTTACGGGACAAAGATTACCATAATGGTGGTTAATTTCATCCATGGATGATGAACCTTGAAAAACATTGAAGAACGATGAAGAACATTAAAGAACAATTTTTTGATTTAGATTTATTTAATTTTATATTTTTTTGGATTTAATTCATAACTGATTTTAATTAAATAATTTCAAAAATTAAAAAAGAATTTTCGAAAAATTAAAAATTATTTTTTGGAAAAATGAAAAAGAATTAAAAATGGAAAATTCTAAATATAAGGTTTGACTAAAATTTTAAGAAAAAGCAAAAATCAACCAATCATAATTAAGTATAGCTATGGTCATAGTGAGAGTGACCATACTAGAATTTTTAATTAGTAATGGTATTAATCCACTTATAATTATGAAAAATAAAATGAAGTTCAAAATTAATCCACATAAGATGATGTATACCTTGAAATCTGACATTTGATACTCCTTCCGTCCAATAATATTTGTATAATTTTATTTATTTATTTTTTTTACAAGCGATAATAGTATAATTTAAATTAGTAATGTGACCATTAAATCTGAACGTAGTTAATCAGCTCTAGAGGCAAACAAACAGAAAATCATAAATCGATAGAGTTATCCTCAGTTACTTCCATATAACAAAGTCTAATTCACAACAAATACATATGTGCAACTTATAAGATTTGAACACTTACAGAACCAGAATGAAGACTGTAAAATGACAGCACTCTCTAGTAAACAAATTGATGTCCACCCTTGTTTAATATACATATCATTGAAGTTCTTCGATGCTTAGAACTTAAACAATACCTCTTACGAGACTCAATAAGGTTGCTTTTTCATGACAAATGTGTTCCGAATATTTTCAGTCTGTTGGAGGTTCCTATAAATTGTCAAACGCTTGACTGCAAATCTTGTTAAAATTTCTTAAGGTTAGCTGGGTACATGGCCAACATGGGTAGTTCTTTTAGTACTCTTCAAGCCAATTTGTTTCGCTGAAGGCCTTCTTGGTGGTAATGTACTCTTATTTTGAGGCGCGGTTCTATTAGCCTGTCTTACCTCATTAGGGGACTTACGATTTGTAGACTCTTTCTGCAATAGATACAATCAAAGTTATAACTCTTCAGTAAATCTTCTAAAAAAGAAATTTGGCCTTTAAAAAGCCAATGAATTAGAATATAAATGCAAAAACTATAGTTGTCACTAGCTTAATTTCTAAGAGGATCAATTATGCAAAAGCATAGATGATTATCTCAACCAAATAATACCTCCACCTAAAACTAATAGTCCTGTTGTCCAAATCCTTGTTATCAATAATTTATTAATACTACGGAGTTTGTGACTACAACTTCTTAATGGACGGAGTCATTATATTGCAAATATTAATACAGAAGGGACTAGAACATGGCGATAGAGCTTGACTGAAAAAAAAGAGATTGGAATTAAGAGACCAACCTTGGGCTTAGGGCTGTTGAACCTTCCACTGTCTCCATAATAGTCTGGAGAAGCCATAGATTTAAAGCAAAAGCTCTGGCGGAATTTGTTTAGTTCTGCTTCCGCTTTCTCCTGCAAGATGATCAAGACTCGAATAAGCATTATATTGTGCAAAATGAGTGTGCAAGTAACACAAACCAAGAGCAAGTAACACAATAATTTGTTACAAATTCTTTATCTGAAGTATAAGTCACCCATCTGTTTAAACTCGCTTACAAAAGCCAGTTCGTATCCTAAAATAGCCAACCCCATCTTATCAGATATTATACAACCATCTGATGTCACACTTATTCACAGGGGGTACCAAAGTAGATAAATTTACCAAACTTAACTATTGTTTTTACAATTCAATTACACCTATTGATAACCAACAAACATAATTATTGATAAGGTTGGTAAAAATGATAGATTTTATTTTGCACCTTCATAAAAACTGAGCTAAGATTTTAAGACTAAAAAATATCATGCTGCATATTTCCTGTATCTTTTAATTTAGTTTCAGTGAAATAAAAGCACAGTACTGAAACCAGGAAATAGATATCGATGAAATAGTAACCTTGAATTTTGATGGTTGAGGTGCCTTTTCCGTAGCTGTGGCATTAAACTTATCTTCTAGCTTCTGCAATACATCAAGATTAACCGTGTTTGAGGAAAACTATATATACTTTAACTTCATATAATAATCAGCCTCGCAAAGCTGGAGGTTTACCTGCTTTCTTCTAGAAGTTCTGTCTCCACTCCTCAGACAAAAAGAATTAGGTATAATAGGTGAGCTTATCTTGTTTTTGCTCATACTGGGAGAAGAAGTAGTAGATACACTGAACAGCAAACACAAACATAATGAGACTTTTTAGTTCAAACCACGAACAAGCATTAATTAGGTAAATGATAGTATCATGCAATTCATTACCCCGTACTAAGGTACTTCTTTGGTCCATTTAACCATTAGTATTATTTCTTCACGTACTTCATATTTTCTAGGCCTCTAAGACACCTTTAACCATTAGTATCATTTCTTTATGCTAGATTCACAGCCCTTTTCTACCCTATTTTTTTTCATGAATGTGTGAATAACATACCCTCTTTTTGACAAATCTGGAGTCATCGGAGGAACTTGTACGCTGCTCACAGAAGCCTGCAATTTGTTTCAAAATGCTCTTGTTAAAGCACATGGTATTCAGACAAAAAATATAAATGCAATGACAATAACGGTAAGAGGAAGAGAAGACCTTGGCAGGAGTTCTTGAAGGGTCATTGGCGCAATCTTTGGAAACCTTGGAAGAACTTCCAAGTTTCTTAATGACTGGTGACATGATTCTGTTGAGTTCTCGATTGATTGACATTCGAAGTGGAGTTTTCTTTTTATCAAGATCAGTAACAGAAGACTTCTTTTTAACCGGAGTTGCATAGTTTTCTTTCCCAGGATAAATCGGGTTAGCAGATCTAGCAGGGGATGGAATGTAGGATGAAAGTGGTGGATTTCTTTTTACTGCTGTTACAGATGATTCCTCAGTTACATAAGTCTTCTCCTGCACCAAAGGTTTTATTAAGAAATTGAAAACAAATTTAGCTTCTTGGTGAGTAGTTAGTCTAGTTACTGTAAGGATTACTTAGATCACACCACAAAACATCGTTAACCTTACATAAGCAAATCTCCTAATTTCTAAATCGTCAATTAACAACATCGTTGAGGCATTGGAAATTTGACAGTTTCGTATGCTTACAAACGGATCTTAAACATGTACATCATATATATGATCACAAAAGTACTCGTATCAATTCTCAAACACAACACCTTTACTAAGTTCATGTACTATATGGCTCTCAAACACTCGGTTTTGAAAACCTTTTTATGTACACCCAACACTCAAATGAACAATGCATTTCGACGAAAAATAAATCACTCGCCAGTAAATGCAAATGAGCATAGGAAATACTTCCTCCGTTCTTTTTTTATTTGACCCGCTTTGACTTTTACACTATTCGCCATCCCTGCTTTGACCGTATTTTGTGAATAATATGGAAGGAAAAACATATTTATGTTGATCATTTTGAATTCGTCTCAATAAGTACTATTATAATATATAATTTTAATATTTTTTAATTATGGAGAATTAGAGTTATTAACCGTTAAAGTTTTGTATTGACAAACGTGATAAAAGAAACAGGTCAAAGAACAGAGGAAGTATTAATTTAGCTCATGTAACACATATTACACAAGCACCTAGGAAAACTTCAGCTTCTTATACGTAAAACAAGCATTTTACCAGAACAATGACATATACTGATAGAAAATCAGCCACTACAAAATTAAGCATCAAATTTAAAACCATATTCAAAATTCTATAAAATAAAAGTCAGAAACAATATTTACATCAAGAATAATGCTCCCCGTCCAAATTTATCTACTACCCAATCCAGCATCAAATTTTATTAAAATAGCTTTAATTTGAAACAGAAATTTAGTAACAGTATCTACGATGATGATGATGATAATAATAATAATAATAATAATAATAATAATAATAATAATAATAATAATAATAATAATAATAATTCCGTCTCATTTTATTTATCACATTTCACGAATGATAAAATGTAACAGTAGTCGTAATTTTAAAAGTTAAAATCAAAGGAGTCAGATTCACCTGCAAAGGAAGTTTGCATATTTGGGGAATCCCACTTGACTCTTCATTGCTTGCCTTGCAATTTTCATCCTTCTTAGAAGCTGAGTAAACATCAATTTTGTCGGATGATTTACGCTCCGGTAATGGCGGATTTACATTTTTGCCATCATTATCATTTACACCAATTGAGTAAAGTTCATCTTGGTGAACTACAAACTCCCCTGCATTATTAATTTCATCATCTTTCGGAACAGAATCGGCCTGCTCGTAACGGTTATCTTCAACATGTAGATTCAAGTTCGTGTTCACAGCATAATCGGCGCTAATTTGGTCTATGTTAGTTTTACCAGACGTATTTTCCGAATTATTTGCCTGCTCAAGTAAAGCTGCAGCCTTAAGAGCTGCCATTCTCTTGAAATGAGCTTCAAAATAAGCCTTCTTTTGTGCAACTGACCCTGGTTTGGAGTATTTTTCTGCCTCTTTTACATAACGATTTCTGTTAGTATTATTGTCAAATGATGACCACTTTTCCCATTCCAATTCTTCACATACATATCTACCAAATGAAACTGATTCTCCCATTTTATACATTGGATTTTCCTGCCAAATTTAACAAAAAAAAAGTTGAGATTTTGTTCAAATATGAAAGATTGAAAGTTAAAGAATGATAAAACTACTAATGGGGTCGTTTGTGAATGTCAACTAGCTAAGTTGGTTTATTCCTTATAAACGGAATTAAAGAATTTGATCAAATAATATTCAGTCTACATAACTTTGTGATTTTCTCTACATTAAAAAAACAAACGGACCAATTTCCCAAATTATATCTTACACATTAAAGATGGGATAGACGAAAGATTTCTAACCTCATGAGATTCATTGGAGAAGGATGGTGTGGTGTAAGAGAAAGGATTCACAACACAAGTAGGCTCAGCCATGCTTCTTTGCTACAATCGTGAACTTTTTATTGAGTAAATTTTTTTTTTTTTTTATCAAATTTGCATATGCTTGTTGAAAATTGACAAGCATGTTTAACAGATAAAGTAAGAAATCATATTTTTGTGTTTTTTAAATTTGAAATTTCAAAGAACAGAGAAAGATATACGGTAGGTCCTATTCGTTGGGGAAAAGTGACTCTTGAAAAAGGCAACCAAGAGCATAGAGAAGGAAAAATGTCGTTGTTTGTGTTTGATGAGAAAAAAAAGTGATTAAACTTGGTTTAAAAGTGTCAATTTTTATCCAACTTCTTGTTATTGGTTTCATTGGCCCCACTCCTCTTTAGTGGATCAATATTAATTATTGTTTGTCCAATGTTTTTGGCCACTAAATCATATGAGAACCTTACCACTCCTTTCGTCCTCGAAAGAACGATCTATTTGGACTTATTTTAGTCCCAAAAATAATGACTCATTTGCATTAAAACACCCACCAATTTGCAACAATATTTGTGCAAAATTAGTTTCCCCATATAAAAATTTGATTTTCCATGTAATTTTATTACTTTCTCTCTTAATTTTTTTACAAACCCCATTTAAATTTATCTTTTCAATATACTTTTACTTCTTTTTAATTAACTTTTTTAATACCCGCGTAATCAACCCAAATGGGTCGTTCTTTCGAGGACGGAGGGAGTAAGAAGGAAATAATTACATGGGAATCAATTCCATACTACTAAAATCAAATCTTAAGACACACTTGTCAATGTATTGTTAAATTTTTTTTTGTCAAAAGTACCTTCTAAAAAGATTATTGTTACTTAAGGGAAAAAATAAATTATATCTAAATTATGACATAATTTGTTTTATATAAAATATAAATCTTTTCCTAAATGTTTAAACTATCCATTATAAGTTTATAACTATTGCATGTTTTTTAAATATTTTCTCTACCATGCTTTTATTTTTAATATACTTTATATTTTTTAATACTCAAGTCATTATATTAAAAAATTTATAATAAAATTGTAAAAAATATTTAACAACCGTGCATTGCACGGGATTTAACCTATCAATTACATACTACTAAAAGTGAATTAAGACACACTTGTCAATGTATTAATAAAAAAATTTCCGCCAAAAGTGCCTTCTAAAAAAATTGTTGTCACTTAAGGAAAAAAAATTATATCTAAATTATGACATAATTTGTTTTATATAAAATATAAATCTTTTCCTAAAAGATTAAACTATCCATTATAAGTTTATAACTATTACATATTTTTTAAATATATTCTCTTACATGCTTTTATTTTTAATATACTCTATATTTCTTAATACTCAAGTCATTGTATTAATAAATTAATAATAAAATTGTAAAAATATTTAACAACCGTGCATTGCACAAGATTTAACCTTGTAACCGTATAATGGTAAACTAGAGGGAATTTATAAATTTCTTCACTATTATTTTGTTTATTGAGTAAAGAAATTTCCTCACTTTTAAAGCTTAATAACAGGGTTTTTCTTCTTCTATAGAAGGATTTAGCTTGTTCGAAAGATCGAGTTTTCCTTCTCTCTTTTAAGGGAGGATTTGCCTTTTTATTTCATGAATTGCATACAGTTGTTTCATGGGTAAATTTTGTGCGGGATTAAAAAAGAGGTTAATATTTCGACAACAATCTAACGAATCGGACGAAATTTTCTGCACGGCTACAACAGATCAATAGACCCCCTCGCCGAAGAGATGAAAGGGGGTATAAATTAAGAATGTACGATTTGCAACAACGATCGTAGCGTTACTTACGGAATGTTTTTATTTGATTCAATTATTATGTATTTGTTAGATCTAAATCTCTTTGTAGATATCGTATGACTTATTTATGAATCAATTTTATTCAAAAAAAGTATGAAATGAGTCTCATATTGTATATGCCAATCCACTAATTTATCGTTATTTTTACGTAAGTAAATATTTTTAAATTTATTTTTAAAAAAAAGTTTTTTTATGATAAAAATATTGTTATTATGTTAATAAAAAAATTATAGTCAAATTAACTATATAGAAAGTGAAAAAAAAAATTTCAACATGTAAGATTTTGTGAGATGGAAGAAATATTTAAAATATTTAATTTATAAGAGCAATTCCTATAGTTGTAGCTACAGAACTGCCTGCAATCTTTAAAATTCTAACTACTAACTTGACCATTGGAGCTAGAAAATGCAATTAGCTTGACACTAAACTAATTTTCTTGGAAAAAAAACTTGACAAAATAATTAAAAGAGGGAATACATATAATGAAAGATAAAAACAGTTAATAAAAAAAAGTGGGGTTCATTTAAGTAGTAAACTAATAGCTAGTCGTTTGAGCTTAAACTAATTAAAATGACAATTAATTTAAAAATTATGTGACATAATAAGCTAATATTACCATTAAAATTGCTCTAAAAAATATTTTAATGTGTCCAATGTCCATTCAAAATTTCAAACATGTTAGATAATCTTTTTTTTTTTTTACTTGACAAAATGTTAGATTTTCTCTATTAATCACTCACCAAGTCATAGTACAAGTCACATCGTTTTATTGTGTATTTATGACAATATACAATTTCATGTTTAACCTTTAGCGCATAGCTGCCATTTGTTAGCAAACATATAGGATTGGAAAATATACAACTACATGCATAATGGATCATAGGTTTTGGGGGGAAAATATTCAACCTATAGAATGGTAAAAAGTATCACTATATACATAATAGTACACAAAAAGTACTATTAAGACAACTTATACTTTAATGGCACATTATACATGCATAATGACAAATAACGGTACATTATAATTTACCAATATATAATCAGATTTTTCCAGAATCTTGCCAAATTTAAAATTTTGAGCCAGGTTCCCCGGTGTTGGTTTGCAAAGCTTGCCACAGGTTTGAAATCTTATGGCTTTAAACAGTCATATTATGATTACTCTCTATTTACTCTGACAGAGAGAATGATGCAGCTCAATGTGTTAGTATATGTCGATGATTTAATTATTGCAGGGAATGATAAATCTGCTATGATTAATTTTAAATCATACTTGGGAAATTGCTTTAAGATGAAAGATCTTGGAGCATTGAAATATTTTTTGGGGCTAGAGGTAGCTCGGAATGCACATGGAATATTTATTTGTCAGAGGAAATATGCGATTGACATTATTACTGAGGCAGCTTTAATAGATGCTAAACCTTCAGAGTTCCCTATGGAACAAAATCATAAGTTAGCTCTGGCAAAGGGAGAGTATTTTCATGATATAGAGAAATATCGTCGTCTCATCGGTCGATTGAATTATCTGTCTGTTATGAGACCCGATTTGGCATACTATGTGCATATTCTGTCACAGTTTATGCAAAATCCTAGGATTGATCATTGGGAAGCAGCTCTGCAAATTGTGAGATATTTGAAGAAGAGTCCGAGACGGGATTTTATTGAGATCTAATAGCGCTTTACAGTTGGAAGGTTGGTGTGATTCTGATTGGGCAAGTTGTCCTTTCTCCAGACGATCCTTGAGTGGTTGGTTTATGCTTCTTGGCTTGTCTCCGGTGTCATGGAAAACCAAGAAGCAACCTACTGTTGCTCTTTCTCCATCGGAAGCAGAATATCGTTGTATGAATGCAATGACTTGTGAATTAAAGTGGTTGAAGCGACTTCTTGGTGATTTAGGTGTTAAACATGAGAATGGAATGCACCTTTATTGTGATAGTGAGTCTGCGATATACATTGCGCAGAATCAAGTGTTTCATGAACGAACAAAGCATATTGAGTCAGATTGTCATTTTGTTCGGAATGTGATTATAGATGGGACGATTATACCTTCGTATGTTCCTACGATGGTTCATTTGGCTGACATCTTTACGAAGGCTTTGGGAAAAGCTAAATTCGAATTTCTTCTTCACAAGTTGGGCATTTGTGACCCGTATGCTCCAACTTGAGGGGAGGGGGTATGGGGATAATATCAAATATAGTGAATATTGTAAAGATATCATTGTGAAAATATTGTGGTGTATTTTAGAAAGGATATCCTTAGAGAATATTAGGGCTTGCCCCCAAGTATTCTAGTATATATATTGATGTATTGCGGCCGTAATACATCAATATATATGCTAGAATACTTGGGGGGCAAGCCCTAATATTCTCTAAGGATATCCTTTCTAAAATACATCACAATATTTTCACAATAATATCTTTACAATATTCACTATATTTATCCCAATATATATATATACTTTGTAAGTGCATAAATCATTGTAATAAAAAACGAACTTGTTATACTTGCTTGATTAACTTCCAATACATAATTAGAACATTAATACCTTTAAATGCTACCCCAATCATGTCATAATAAGTTTTTTTTTGAGGAAAAAACAAGTTAGTAGGCTTATTATTGCAAATCAAGTTCTGTCAAAGTTATAAGACTTTGAGGGAAACAATTCATACATACTAGTTCGGAGCTACCATTGGTATCCCATCGTGCTACTAGATGAGATACCGAAATGCCTACTGGTTTGACATGAGAGATAACAAATACATTGAAATCATTAGCAAGCATCCTAATACCATCATAAATAAGCCAAGTTGGAGAGAAACCCGTAGAGTGATTGTCCACCTTACTGACCACAGTCGCAGCATCACTTTCTATCCATACATTCCTGTAATTGAATCTGCGAGCCACATTCATCCTGAACCTCGCGGCTGCTGCTTCAGCCATTTCCACCTCCCATTCCCCCATCATACCTTCGAACAGCAGCAAGTAAGATCCTTCCAGCCTCGTCCCTTGCAACTACACCCAGACTAATATACAAGCCTGCTACAATATGAGCGTCAACATTGAATTTTATTAACCAAACAGGGGGCAGCTTCAATTCGATGCTGAGATAAATTTTGGACTCCTCGTAGGCTTGCTAAATACTTTCTTAGTGTAACATCCATACTCCTGAATAAGTTTCAAGAAGCCCGCAGCTGTAAACACAGCATTGAGTGTAACATTCTCACGTACAAGCTTGTTCCTGCAAAACCATATAGCCCACGCCAATGCAAGGAAATGATTGAGCTGTTGCTGGTCGATTTTCTGTGCCACCCACAACAATCTTGCAGCAAAGGACGCAGTAGGGGCATCCTCAATTAATTGGGTGAACCCACTATGTTCCCACACTTCTTTTGTAATATCACAATCAAACAAAACATGTATAATGGATTCAACATTAACACCACAGCAACAACATACCTCATCACTTGCAATATGCCTACGAAATAATTCTGCCTTCACCGCCATACTA